CCCCCGGTTATACTTGCCCACTTGCGTTTATGTGCCAAAGCCATCAGTGGCCAGCTAGTTGCTAAGCTTAAGCGATATGGCGCTGCTGCCCCTCCCTACACGCAGATCACGCAGACTCAAACCTCATCGTATGCCCAAATTCCAGCTGAGAGGGTCTTCTCTACAGCTGGCCTGATGCTGCATTCCGTGCATAGGCCCTGTTATAGGTTGTTGATCTCTGTTGTAATAGTTAACCCTGACCCGTTATGTTGTTTGTGTATGATCCCTCTTTCATTTAAAAACCAAGTTATGTTTTAAGCATGAAAGCTGTAGGCCTATAGCTGTCAACTGTTCAAATTGTGATCACCAGTTCAATACATTTTTTTTTTTTTTATAATATATTTACATTTCGGTTAATCGGTTAACCGTTTTTTTGGGGGTCGAATATTTGAATATACATTTGCTTTCAAATTCCCATCCCTAGTATCCACCTGATATGACTTTGCATAAGATACACTGGATTTAATTTTTTGCACAGTTTTAATGATGGTAGATTTTTTTTCATTCATCACTTGCATTGAAATTGTTTTAAAATCAAATCTCTCAAGGGTCTGTATGAAAAAGTGGAGTGACAGCAATAACCAGGATAACCTGTTGCAACTCTTATTTGGCCATCTAACAGCTATTTTAAAAATAGATTTGCCACTTTTCCAACCTATTCTTTAATTTCTTATTCCTGTGGAGATTGCAAAGTTTCAGGAGACACAAAATATTCCCACATTTTGGCTAGATATCATGCTCAAATATATCGAATCTTTACATCTGATGGACTGATGTGTTGGAATATACAGTATCGGCTTAAACGTCAGTAAGCATTATCGTAAATCTTGAACAAGCTGATAAACATGATGTTGTCCTGTCAGACCAAGCGATGAAGACGCTCTTACGAACCTAAATCTACCTAATGGCCAAATTAAAGTAAACAGTGGGTGTTTCTCAATGTCGAGGAGGCTTGCTTGGTAGCACATGTACCTCAGAGTGAGTTCCTTAAGAAGCGAGGCAAGAATACCTCCTAGCCTCGGCAAACGAAGAGTGGAACAGGCGAGCGTCATATGAGAGGCCCCGCCTTACATTTTATGCCAAAGATTTTGGAAATTGGTCCGTGCGCAAAGCATTGTGGGGATTTTAAGACCGCGGCGTCTACACATGCGCAGCCTCGAAATTTCCCGCAACGAAGTACTCATTACTCATTACACGTCACTTGTTAGACGCTTTTATCCAAAGCGACTTACATACTCAATACTGTGGGCAATCCCCACAGGAGCAATTTGGGGTGAAGTGTCTCAGGGACACAACGACATGCTGACTGCAGTGGGGTTTGAACCTGTGACCCCTTGATCCGAACACCAATGCACAAACCACTGCACCACACGCCTCCCTAAGTACGTGGGCCTCGGTAGAATTCCAAGTATCCTAGACATTGGAACAGTCCTTCGGCGAGACTCGATGACGTAGTGTCCTTGAAATAGTGGCTCTGGAGCATCCTTCCTCGACATTGAGAAACACCCAGGATGTCAAAAGCTTAAAATAATGGTGGTGCTCAAACAGTACCCGGACTCTTCCATCCTTCACCATGGTGCAGTGGGCTTTTCTCCACTAGTGGGGCTTCCCTCCATTGAATGTCTCCTTTTGCCATATATGGACTCTAAGCATAATGGTTATCTTGAGTCAGGATCATCTGTGTTTAGCCAAAGGTTTGGTCATTTAAGTGTAGCTCAATGGATTAGCATGGAACCCATTGTATGGAATTGTTATTGGATTGATCTGCCCAGCATTTGCAACACTTCTCAAAAAATCAGGACCAATGGTAATGAACTTTAATCACACGTGAAATTGAGTCAGTGTTTACATACAGTCAGGATGTAGCTGCTGCTGATTAGTGTCTGTCATAGTGTGTTAACTGGACACTTGGCAGCATGGGATTTTGACCTTTTTGTTATTGAACAGTTACTTTTACTTACTACTGTTTGTGTTTTTATCATGTTCTGTTGCCTATTAGCGTTTTCTCTTTTTTTTTTTAAACAAATTGTACGGTGTCCTTCGGTGTCATGAAAGGCGCCTAAAAATAAAATGTATTATTATTATTACTTTAACATCTAAGCTCCAGTCTGTCGGAGCATGCATTCTAACTGTGGGCAAAATCAATAATATATATATACGGATGATCTATTTTGGTCATAGCATTTCTGCAGATAGTTAAGCCATCAGTGACAGCAGGCGCCAAAAGACGATGACCTCTCTTTTGATGCATTTTAATGTCCCCAAACTGTGTTCTTGGTAAAGTTGGCAACACCCTCTTCTAGTCCAATGCTTAATGAATGCAGCCACATTGTCACTGCCCGCTGGTGTTAGCACAGCTGATAAGACAATCTTGGGGCCATGGTGCTAACATAATGCTAACAGAGCGAGAGAAGGCCAAAAGGAGGAGAGTGAGAGACCCGTTGTGCTGCTTAGCATGCCAAATTCCTCAGCTGCACAATAGTGCTAGGCTAGCCTGAGCCCCAGCCTGCCCTCTCCACCACAATGGGAGGGGAAGCTCAGGAGAGGCTGGTGACGCCTGGGGAGGGAAGAAACTCACTCAACCCAGGGGCTGTGATGGGGCCGATGAATGGTCGCTTTGAGAAGGCGCTGTGTCATTTTGGGACCACAAGACACTCTGCAGCAATGTTTTCCTCACTTTATAGACGTACTGGGCTGTTGTAGGCTAACCATAACTATTTAGGATTATCAAGAATGGAAGATGCCCTTTTTTGGGATTAACTCTGGGGTTTTGAGGGTTGGTCAGAAAAACATGTTTCATGACATCAATTTGAGATCTGATGGTGAGATCTGATGGTGAGATCTGAAAATGTAACAATGAATTGCTAGACGCTTTCTTGCACAGAAGTTACTTGCCGATAAATGGTGTGAGTCAACTGGTGTTATAAATCACTTTGCACAATTCCTTTTATGCTATGTGGTCAGTACGGCTACTTTGTTAAACCATTGCGCTGTGACCCCTACATTGTCAAGGTGAACATCGTAGAAGCACGCTGATGGAGGGAAGCTTGTTGTGAGTGATCTGATCAATTTAAATGTAACAAAGTGACCTAATTATAACCTTGACTTCAAAACAAGCGCAAGTAATTATTGGCTTTGCATTGTGACAAAATCAATAAGCAATCAGAGTCTGCTTACAGCAACAAGGCAAAGGGAAAACTTCAATAAAGCAGTGCCAGTTAACAAATTAGGCTGACATTAGACTTCATACACAATAAACAATATTTGATCTAGATTCTGTTGACATCCTGTTATACAAATATTAGATTGACTGGCAATTATAAATTGGGATGTCCCGATCACCTTTTTTTGCTCCCGATCCGATTCCGATCATTTGATTTTGACAATTTGCCGATACCGATTTTTCCCGATCCGATCTTTATGCAATGCAATAAGAGAAAAAAAAGAAAAAAAGCATTCAAGTTGTCCCTTAAAGTTATTTTTTATTTAAATTGGATATTCTATCCAACATGGATATAGCTTCTTTTTTTCACAGCAGCATTGGATCAGTTCAGTTGTGCAGCATTGGATCAAAACAAAATAAAGCTTATCAGTACTCGTTAGCTTACTGCTACAATTAGACACTGCACCCTGCCCACTCTGTTGCCAGATTTGAGAGAAATAGGTCTATGAAAACAAGCCCCAAAGAAGCAACACATACATAATGTTGTGTAATTTGAAACCAAAACTAAGGCCTCAGGATGACTTTAAGACTTGAACATGGTCATTTTTGTTTTGTAAAATTGAATACAAAATAAAAAAAAAGTATTTAAAAAAAAAGAAAGAAAAAAATCCCGATCCCCGATTTTTTTCTCCCGATTCCGATCTTTTGAAAATCACGTGATCAGCTCCGATCCCCGATCACGTGATCGGATCGGGACATCTCTAATTATAATTTATATACTATAATATTTCTGGTGTGATTTGATAGTCTATTCCGAAATGATACAATCTGCCATAATCCAAATGTTGTTGTTTTTCTTTTCTTAGGTGTTTAAAGTTTTGCTGCGCAGCCCTTTGAGCCACACTGACGTAAAAGCTGTCACTCATGGCACCCTGCAGTTGACAGAATGGCCCAGATATCAAGTGGTAATGGGTTCAAGGTGGATGTCCCCAAGTCAAAGGGGGTTGTGGGTAAAGAGGAAGCCCTGCGCATGGAGGAAGAGGCTTTAGCAAAATTGCAAAGGGATAAGAGACCCACTCTTCCAGTTTCAATATCCTCATCTTCCTCTGCAGCAACTTCCTCGAAACCAAAACCTTTTAACTCCACCACTACTGCTCCTCGTCCTTCACCCGAAAATAATACACCTGAGAAGGACCTCATCGTCTTCCCAGAGGCCAAGAAGAAGGCACAAACGGATACGTTCAGGGATATTGATGTGGAAAAGCTGACCAATGAGGAACTTGAAAAGCTCCTCCTGGATGATAACTTTGGGGTGAACAGCAAAGTGTCTCGCCCCTCTTCACTACTGGGGTTTAACCTCAGTGCGTCGTACCCTGGAGGCCATGCCTGCCCCTCCTCTCCCTTCCAGAGCAACCAGTGGACACCTGTTCTGTCCAGCCCGTCTAACTCCAGTGTGTCCACTCCCACCCATCAGCCTCCCCCG